AATACAATGTATTATTATTATTATTATACTGACAGGTATCAGATCTTGCTGTGTGAAATAATCTTCCTGAGAGGCGTCACTTGTGATGTAGTGTGTGTCCTACAGTGAATGTATTCCTGACAGCAACAGGTGATAAGAATCAAAGGTTCCCAGAGGATCCCATAGAAAATGTATGCGGGTCATTTTTGACCCACTTATGGAAGCTTGGGGTAGAAACACAAAAACTACAATTTCTTAAAATGTAAATTTAAAATGGCATGATATCCAAAACATGTTTTTTGAGGCATAGCTGGAATATGAAATGATAAAAAAATGTAATTACAAAGAGACTTCAAGAAAACCACCTCACCGGGTCCATAAAGACCCACTTATGCATCTAAGGGTTAATACAGTTTAGCTTTTATAACTTTTTCTGCTGTCTGTACATTTTTTATTTAATTCACAGCTGCTTTACCTCCATCAGGAAGGCAGTGAAGCAGAAAATGCTACAAGAGGAAGAGAGGAATCTCAGTGAAATGAATAGAAACCTCTGCAGTTTGTCATTAAATTGCACGAGTGCTTTCATTCAAGACTACTTCCTAAAGCTAGGTTTTCTCCAAGACAAAGAATGCATTGGATTTTAGGCTCAAAGTGAGTTTTGTATGAGTAAAAGTGTCCTCCTCCTCTTCAATGCATATATACTGGATCTGTGTGTTGCAAAAGGTTAATGTTTTAGTAGCAACATGCAACAGCAAGGCCTCACTGATTCTGAAAATACGGTTCAGGTCAAGAACAATGGAAGCAAACCAGAAGCTGGTGCACGATGAGATGCATTTGACAGAATGTATTCTGTATGTTGAGCAGCTGTTCTCGACCTGCAGCTCAGGCGTAATGCTTAACCTCTCACTGTGACATTAAAGTTCCCTCAGTGTGTAGAGAGAGAGAGAGAGAGAGAGAGAGAGAGAGAGAGAGAGAGAGAGAGACTGCTCACTCTGTACAAATTGGACTGTGGGACCTCTGGCACTTCTCAGTGAAAAGCCTCCTTTGAAGATGCTTCAGTTCTGGCTTCTCTCGCTCTTTCTTCTTCTCCCTCAGTAGGCATCCAAAGCCCCTCTGTTTGTCACCATTAGACTGAAAAGTGTGATGCTCTGTCCGCATTCCTTTTCTGACAGTGAAGGCAGTGAGGGTTTGTTCTGCCTGACCTAGCAGAACCTCAAACACACTTGCACAAGCCTTGCCCTCCTTTTGATGTCATGGCAGGGCCTCTGACTGAATCACTGCTACCGTGCCCCCCCCTCATCAACACTAACATTTCCTTTCCTTTACTCCTCTGTTGCAGCCATAAGGCGCCCTGGTTACTCTATAACATTAGTCCCCAGAGTTTAGCTCAGGTTTAATTCAAAGGTACTGCTCTAATGCCGCTTTAATGGCCACACCATTCTCAGATATTCTCACTCAAAGAAAATTTCAAATGAGGCTTCGAACTAAGGGCTGCTTGAAATGTGTGTGTGTGTGTGTGTGTGTGTGTGTGTGTGTGTGTGTGTGTGTGTGTGTGTGTGTGTGTGTGTGTGTGTGTGTGAATATATATTTAATTTGTGCAGTACATGTGATTTTGCCCCTCAGTTTTTTGAAGGCATGGGTTTGACTGACAGAAAGTATGCTGCTTTGATGGATATGCTAATTCCTTCATGTGCAAAGCTAGAGTACTGTATGGATGCAGTGTTTTGCATTTGTTGGTTGGAGATGCAGCAAACACCAAACACACGCAGTGACACTTGCAGGCTCTTGTAGCCTGAGATACTCGCTCATGTCTATGCACTACCCCGGCTCTGCTGAAAGAGAATGGGAGACAAGCTTGGCTTCTCCGGAGACCCAACCTTGTTAATCAACACAGTGAACTGGCAGGGAGCTCCAGTCAGATCAAAAATAAAATGCATTTGAAAGGGAAACGGAGTCAGAGAGGATGGGCTGAACTAAAAAAAAAAACACTCTCCAAGCTGCTTCTTATTCAGGACTGAAATCAATTGAGGATCCTTGCTGGGTGAATAACCCTCCAAAGATCCACTGTGATCAGGCATTGTGAATGCTGTCCTTTTGATGATGTGTTCTTACAGATGGCAGGCTATTTAGAGTATTTCATACAACAAGTCTTTGCTTTTCAGTGCGCATTCGCTGAATATTTTCGTGTAATGTTCCTGCAGGAATCCACTGTGATAATGTGTGCCCACAAGGCTTCTGGGGACCCAACTGTTCAGTCAGCTGTTCCTGTCAGAACGGAGGATCCTGCTCTCCAGAGGACGGGACATGTGTGTGTGCACCTGGATACAGGGGGACGTCCTGCAAAAGAAGTGAGCCTCCTTCTCTTTCATTAAAGCACCCTTTTCTTTATCGAAACAGCATAAGCCTTTGAGCTCCGCCGTAACAAACCCCATCACAGAATTGACCTTGCTTTGATCTTTGCAGGATTGTTGAAGGGTGAGCCTGCTGAGGAGAACACTCAGTTCTCGGCCATAACTGCTTGAGTGTAAACCCTTCATCACTGCTATCACTTAATCACAGTGTCTTTACCCCGACAGCAACACACACACACACACACACACACACACACACACACACACACACACACACACACACACACACACACACACACACACACACACACACACACACACACACACACACACACACACACACACACACACACACACACACACACACACACACTCCTCACCCCCCTGCCCTGTCCTCAACAGCCAAGTCGCAGTGGGAGACTCGCAGTCCTCACCCAGGGCTCATCAGAGGGCGTGCTCACTGGGAGTGCTATCCCTGCTTTTTGAACAGGGTCGGTCTGGGGCTGCTCTCAAGTGATGAGCTCACTGATTGACAGTGAAAATCACAGCCACAAACGTGTAAACACCCATTTGAGCGGGATGTAAGACAGAGAATCAAACGAGCTCTCTCTGTTTTTGTGTGTATGTGTGTGTGTTTGTGAGGAAGTTATTATTCCTCCAAATTCAATGTTTACACAGATAATGTTCTCATCAGGGGTAAACTTCATAACTGCAGTCACGCTGTTTTCTGCTGTAGAAACTTTAATTGGAGGATTAAATCCTCCTCCAGATGATAAAGGTGTATCCCACCTGGTGCTTTAAATCAAATCAAAACCCTTGGGGTACATTTAACATTGCATCGTTGTCAAGCAACTACCAAGGTTGTCTTTGACAATTCCTAAAAGGTTTCTTGCTTTGAAAATACCTGATTGTCTCCTGAGAGTGGTGATTATTGGAGTAGGAATATAACCAAATCACCAGCTATGAAAATAGATACATAACATTTCATTTTTTAAGGGTCTCATACTGAAATTAAAATATATTTTTAATATAACTGCATTCTCTTATCATGCTTGCACAGTTAACACTCTTTGTATAAAACGTTAGTATAATCACCTTTCTACCACCTTTTAAATGTATCTTAACGGTCCACATTATTTCAGTAAAATCTGCATTAACACACAGTGATGTGTTTCCTAAGGTTTATAGATGATCAAGTCTTAACATAAAAGGGACTTTCATGATTCTCTTAACTATTTTTACTACTCCATCTCTGGCAGCGGATGAAATGAGAGTGATTACGATAAAGACTGACTTTTCTGCTTCCTCCCTCCATTCACCCTCTCTACTCATTCTTGATTTTTCTATATAATCACTCTTGTTATTGCCTGTTACAGTATTATATACCTCTTGTTGCACCAAAAGTTGAAGACTGACCCTCTCTCCTCTCCTTCAACGCTCTCTCTCCTGCAGTCTGCTCTCCGGGGTTTTACGGGCACCGCTGCAGCCAGTCGTGTCCGCAGTGTGTGCACAGCACCGGGCCCTGCCACCATGTCACCGGACACTGTGAGTGCCTATCTGGCTACTCCAGTTCACTCTGCAACCAAGGTGAGTAGCCTCGCTGAAAAACCTTAGGTACAATCCATGTCTGAAAATACCTGCTGTTTTGTGTTTACAGGAAATATGAGAAAAAGTAGATAGATAGATAGATAGATAGATAGATACTTTATTGATTCTGTCATGGCCTGGCTCTTGGCCATAACAAAAAATGTGGGAAGGACGAGTATGTATAGGGAAAGGTATTTATTTGATAAAACTTAATGTGGCCGAAGCAAAGCAAAAAGCACAGGCAACGTGGCTGCTCTCCCAGGCCTGGCTCCGGCCTCTTATTCCTCCGGTGCCATCCGTCAGGTGTCCTCAATCAGTGCACAAGCAGAGGAAGAACGTCAAAGGGCCATACACACCACAGGAGACCTTAAAGCAGGGGTCGTCAGGAAATGTTTGCGTTGCAGCAGCATAAAAAACAAGGCAATAAGAGAAATTCAGACACAAGAAATAAACAGTCCAAAATGTTTCTGAAATAAAAATAAAATAGCATTTAAAAAATATATACATTTGGAAAATATAAAGTATAAGTATATCAAATACAAAACATGTTGTATAACGTACGTATTACCCAGTAAAAATGATATGGAGTTTAAAGTTGCTGTATCCCACGATATCTTAAGGTTCATTTAAAAATCTAAAAAGTCTTCTATGCCAGCGTTTTGTGGGGGCGCCTGTACCTTTCCCTTCAGCCCTCGCTATGATCAGTGGCTCTAATAAGATCAAATGGATGACCTGCTGCCTCTCCCACTGGCACCTGAGCCTTTAAACTTTAAATAATGGCTATTATCAGTGCACTCCAGACCAAAAAAAAAAGAAAACACCTTCAACAGGATCCTGAATACCACTATTTTAGACAAATAATTTTTCAAGTAAATGTTGCCATCCCTCTGCCTAATCTGCAAAGAGAGCTGCATGCAAATTAGTTTCCATGAAAGAAACAATACATGTACAGAACAAATGTCTTCTTGTCCAATTGAATTCAAGGCAAACAGGAAATTAATTAATTTTTGTATTGCCTTGATGTTTGAATCACATACAAGATGTAGTTGACAGAAAACATCCTAACCTTTGTACGGTTTCTTATTTAGCCTCAGATTTGTGTTATTAACATGGTGTACTTTTACAAATAGTGAGAAATGTTAGCATATCTTACTTCAATAATTAAATTATGTGCTATAATATTTGGAATATAGTGTGGTGACATTTTCTTAAGTGTGTTACTTACCAAACATTTAAATGGAAACATATACAGTTGTTGCGTGTGAAATGTCAACTACATATTAACTTTTTATTTACTTTTGTTACATATAAATCGGATTTCAGTACATCATGGAGGCTTTTGGTCTGTCAATCAGCTACCCTTCAATAGCTTAATGTCAACAGTTTGTCCACTATTTGTGAGTGATGATTTATGTGGCCGAAGGTGTTTGTCATGTCAGGGATTCTTCACCGGCTATAAAGAGCAGTGAAAATCACTGAATTGAGAAAGGACACCTACATATAAGCGTACTGTAGATATCACTTCTAATGATGCACCATTTTCTTTTAAAAGAAAGTCATAAGGGAACTTTTGGATTTCCTGTCATGGCTTTGAGCAATGTCTTTCGAATAAAACTTTAATAGTTTTGCTGAAGGATGAGGAAAAAGAAAAAAAATGAGAGCCCTAATTTGTCTGGTCTGTAATTACTGGTAGGCGGTAGGCCGCGAGGGACGAAGGTGGCCAACAACACACACATTCTCCTCTTGTCTAACCCTGTTGTCGTCGTATCTTGTCCGCTGTCCAGCACACACAGTCCCCGCCTAATGAAGCTCTCCTGGTGTGTTGAGGCTTGAATCCCCAGAAGCAGCAGCAGTAGGGGGGGCCAACCTCATGGCCTAATGACAACCTGCTTGAAAGAGCTTTCGAGAAGAGGGGAAAACCAGTTGAAATGTAATCATTAAAATCAACCCACATGAAAATGAGTCAGACCCATTTCCTTCACAGCCAGCCACCTTATCTGATTTTTCTAACGCTGGGCTATTCTCTTTATATGAGACCTTTGATGTATCTGCTGGTGCTGCAGCTCCCTGATCCCGATGCTTAGATACACCTTGGTTCAATTTGTCTCACGGGCCAACATGGAAACACAATGGTGGTTTCACTGGGAATGACATATTTTATTCAAGAGTGCCGGAGAGCATTGAAATATTAATTTCATGAAAAATGTATAGAGTGGTCTGTGTACATGGTCTATTTTAATTATGTGGCACATCACTCATTTCACTCTAGTGAGTGGAAATGGGGCAGTGTTGCCACAGGAGGCAGTGATTGACTCCTCCTTTTGTTTAAACAGATCACTTCACTTCATGTCCACTCTAATAGAACAATATCATCCATTAGAGGAATATGTGTACACAACCTTTTACAGAATGAGTTTGCTTGCATAAATGGACTCACAATAATTTGTCCAAGTGTGATGTCATAATGTTAATGGATTTTATTATTTTCTGCATGTGAGTGATAATATGCAGATCAGGGTTTTGTGAAGTGATTATTTTTCTGTGTGTGTGTGTGTGTGTGTGTGTGTGTGTGTGTGTGTGTGTGTGTGTGTGTGTGTGTGTGTGTGTGTGTGTC